CTCACGCCCTGGCACTCATGCACGCGCGCGAGCTCTCGCCCCAACCCCGCAGCGCCCCCAACAACTCTGGGTTTTGCAGCGGCGCAACTCATGGGTTTTGGTGCACGTGTTCCAGGCGACTCTTCTATTGCCGATAACGAGAAGCTCCGCACGCGCACACGCCGCCGCGCGCGCGGCGGCGCAGGCGCGCGCGAGGAGTGTTTGTCTGCGCTGTTGTAGAACACATGCACCAAAACCCATGTTAACTTCGAAATCCAATCGGCAACCACTAAGGGTTCACTTTGATTTCCCAGGCCAACATGGCCATGGCAACTTTTCTATTGCTGATAACGCGGGGCGCCCCACGCGCGCGAGGGCTTGTTGTATACGCCGTTGCAAGACACGTACACCAGAACCCATGTTGACTTGGAAATCCAATCGGCAACCGCTAGTGGTCCACGTTGATTCTCCAGGCTAACATGGCGCTTCTTCTACTGCTGATAACACTAAGCGCGCCACGCCCCTGCGCCGCCGCGCGCGCGAGAAGTGTTTGCACGCGCCGCTGCAGAACACATGCACCAAAACCCATCATGTTAACTTGGAAATCAAACTGCACACTTCCAAGGGCTCCCTTTAAATTCCCCAGTCAACGCGGCAACTGTCCCATTGCTGGCGCTGCGGCGTTTCTCGCGCGCGCGCGCCGCCGCGCGCGCGGCGGCGCAGGAACGCGCGAGAAGTTTTGCGCGCGCTGTTGCAGAAGACATGCACCAGAAACCATGTTAACTTGGAAATCCAAGTGGCAACCGCTAAGGGTTCACTTTGATTTTCCAGGCCAACATGGCGACTCTTCTATTGCCGATAACGCGAAGCTCCGCACGCGCACACGCCGCCGCGCGCGCGGCGGCGCAGGCGCGCGCGAGGAGTGTTCGTCTGCGCTGTTGTAGAACACATGCACCAAAACCCATGTTAACTTCGAAATCCAATCGGCAACCACTAAGGGTTCACTTTGATTTCCCAGGCCAACATGGCAACTTTTCTATTGCTGATAACGCGGGGCGCCCCACGCGCACGCGCCGCCGCGCGCGCGGCGGCGCGGGCGCGCGCGCGGCGGCGCGGGCGCGCGCGAGGGGTATACCATGTTGACTTGGAAATCCAATCGGCAACCGCTAGTGGTCCACTTTGATTCTCCAGGCCAACATGGCGCTTCTTCTACTGCTGATAACACTGAGCGCCCCACGCCCCTGCGCCGCCGCGCGCGCGGCGGCGCCGCCGCGCGCGCGGCGGCTCAGGCGCGCGCGAGAAGTGTTTGCATGCGCCGCTGCAGAACACATGCACCCAAACCCATGTTAACTTGGAAATCAAACTGCCCACTTCCAAGGGCTCCCTTTGGATTCCCCAGTCAACGCGGCAACTGTCCTATTGCTGGCGCTGCGGCGTTTCTCGCGCGCGCGCGCCGCCGCGCGCGCGGCGGCGCAGGAACGCGCGAGGAGTTTTGCGCGCGCTGTTGCAGAAGACATGCACCAGAAACCATGTTAACTTGGAAATCCAAGTGGCAACCGCTAAGGGTTCACTTTGATTTTCCAGGCCAACATGGCGACTCTTCTATTGCCGATAACGCGAAGCTCCGCACGCGCACACGCCGCCGCGCGCGCGGCGGCGCAGGCGCGCGCGAGGAGTGTTCGTCTGCGCTGTTGTAGAACACATGCACCAAAACCCATGTTAACTTCGAAATCCAATCGGCAACCACTAAGGGTTCACTTTGATTTCCCAGGCCAACATGGCAACTTTTCTATTGCTGATACGCGCGCCCCACGCGCACGCGCCGCCGCGCGCGCGGCGGCGCCGGCGCGCGCGAGGGGTTGTTGTATACGCCGTTGCAAGACACGTACACCAGAACCCATGTTGACTTGGAAATCCAATCGGCAACCGCTAGTGGTCCACTTTGATTCTCCAGGCCAACATGGCGCTTCTTCTACTGCTGATAACACTGAGCGCCCCACGCCCCTGCGCCGCCGCGCGCGCGGCGGCGCCGCCGCGCGCGCGGCGGCGCAGGCGCGCGCGAGAAGTGGTTGCATGCGCCGTTGCTGAACACATGCGCCAGAGCCCATGCTAACTTGGAAATCTGACTGGCGACGCTGAAGGTTCACTTTGATTTTCCAAGCCAACATGGCGATTCTCCTATTGCTGAGAACGCGGGCGTCTTAACTCGCTTTCGGCAGCGCAGGCGCGCACGTCAAGTTTTGCGTGGCCCTCGGTAGGACGCGCGCACACACGCACACACGCACGCACGCGCGCGCACATACCCCGCTCTGATGCCCAACAACCGCCAAACTCTCTCCTAGGAACGTGCGAGGGCGATTCCTTTCGCGCCACCATCATCCAGGGGGACGAGGTTGCGGATGGCCGCACCTTGACATCGAGACCGAAGAGCATGGAGGGTCCTGCCCGCGCCGCGGGTGCGCGAGCCCTGCGGCCTACCCCATGGGCCTTAGCATAGGACCGACGTCAGCGCTACGTCCTGAACGTCATCCGCACATCCAACCTCTCAGCCCTGCCGCAGCCCAGGAAGCTGCGCGTGGCTTCGCCCGCCCGCCCAGCTCATGCCTGCAGCCGCGCACCGTGCTCTCCGAAACCTGAAGCCCACCAGCGCCAAGTTCTCCCCTAAGAACATGCGAGGGTGATTGCACTCACGCCGCCATCATCAAGGGGCACGCGGTTGCTGGAGGCCGCACCTTGACATCGAAACCGAAGAACATGGAGGGTCCTGCCCGTGCCGCGGACGCGCGAGCCCTGCGGCCTACGTGCGCACGTAGCTTCAATCAAGCCTGCATCCGCACGCCCTAAGCCCCGCAGCCCGAAGCCCACCAACGCCAAACAGTCCCCTAAGAACATGCGAGGGTGATTGCAATCGCACCACCATCATGAAGGGGCACGCGGTTGCTGAAGGCCGCGCCGTGACTTCGGGACCGAAGAACATGGAGGCTCCCGCCCCCGCCGCGGACGCTCGTAGCCGAATCGTGAGCCCCGAACCCCAGCTTTGTCAGAACGAAGGAATAATGGCGCCAAACTGAAGAACATCGAGGATACCCTCCCCCAGGGTGCACAAGAACATGGAACAAAAACGAAGAACATAAGGGTACCCTCCCCGAAACACCGAAATTCTTAAGCCTTGTGCCGGCCGTGCCTATTTGCGGCGCGCAGTCCATATCCAGCCGCGGCAGGTGTATGAATGACGGGAGCGTATGCTTGATTTCGCGGGCAGCGGCGCTTAATTCGCATGTTGGTGATGTTTAATTCACGGGCCACCTGTATATCTAACGGACGGTAATATTTAATTCACGGACGGTGGCCATGGATTCACACATTGTTTGTTTTAATTCACGGGCCGCAATACAATGGTTGGTTTTAATTAAAGGACAACGGCTGTTTTTAATTATCGGACTGCACGGGCCGCGCACCGGGCTACTGATCCATCGGGGCGGTGCAGCCTTTCAGTCTCCGCGAACAATCGACATCGCACCGGATCGATCCGAACGAAGTGGGACCTGCCTCGGGGCTGCGCGGCTGCGCCGACGGCTGCCGGTGCACAGCCGCGGGCCGGGGCCAGCAGGGGGACGCCTCCTGCAGGGCCTGGAGCAGCCCCGCGCCCCGGAAGCTCCTGTCGGGGAAAGCCAGTGGGGACAACGGCGGCTGCCCAGTGATGTGTGCTGAATTCGTATGCTGCGGACTCGCATGCATCGTGTTTGCCCATCGTTGCGCACTCTGGATCTCATAATAATGAGGGGGTCTACTTTTGTGGGGGGTCTAATGGGTCTCGTCAAACAAGATTGTTTGGGGTTCTCTATGCTGGCCCCGTTGTTGCACCGCTCTTGGGGGGGAGGGTCCCAGACGCGCTGTCAAACACCCTTTGGATCCAGCCCGTGCTGCTGAGACATCTGGAGCATCAGCTGGCACTGTGCCCTCCCTTCCACGTACCAGGGTGCCCTCTGATGTCGTTCCCACTGATCCTGTGCGTCTCTCTGGGGGCCCGAAGGTCCCACCCCCTCCTCTCCTTCCTCCGCCTCCTCCTCCTCCTCCTCCTCCTTCCTCCTCCTCCCTCCTCCCTCCCTCCTCCTCCTCCTCCTCCCCCTCCCCTCCTCCTCCTCCTCCTCCTCCCTCCTCCTACCCCCTCCTCCTCCTCTCCTCCTCTCTCTCCTCCTCCTCCTCCCTCCTCCTCCTCCTCCTCCTCCTCCTCCTCCTCGCGGGATCTGTTTGCAAATCTTCGACCCTCGGAGTTCTCAACGCCCGGCGCTCGCCCGCGCCTCGGCCCCCTGGGCCCGTTCCTGATGGGCCCCGGGGCCCTCAGGAGCGGGCCCACACGGCAACGGCAGCTGCCCCTCGGGGAAGGGGTCGGGGCCTGCAGCGGTGTATTATGGGGTCGGGCGACAGGGGGGGATAGCAAAGGGGGGGGTTTGAGAATCAGCTCACGGAGCTGATTTTCCCGGCGCCTCCCGGCGCCGGAGGCGGCCATGTATCGAGGAATGGGCCCCTCGGTGAGGCCGAAACCAGCTGCATGCAGCAAATTTCGTACCCCCCCCTTTCCCAATCCCCCCCTTTCGTCCGGCCCGATTTTAAAAGGCTGAAGGGGGCCCAGGGACACACAAAAAGCACAGCAGCTACTGCAGGCGGGAGGGGCAGCCGGCCCGCCCATGACATGCAGTGCGAGCGCGGCCGCAAGAAAGCCTCGCCAGAAGCCTGACCCTGAAAACCCGCGCGCGGGGTGCACCGGACGGGAAACCTGGAGCACTCGTAACGCAGCAGCTCCTTCAACGGCCGCGGGAAATCGCCGCGCACCGCGCGGAGCGAAGACCTATGTTACGTTTTTGTGTCGAGGCTCGAGAGGCGCTAAAACAGGGCTAGGAACGGGATAAATCGCTCCAGAGCGTTCCGGAGCGCTCCCAGAGCGTTCCGGAACGCTCTGGAGCGGCCGCGGCGCCCAATACATCCTCCAAACCCGCCGATTCTCAGAGATTGCGAGTTATCCCGATCCGATTTTGTCCCGATCTTCGCGTCGTTTTAGGCGCAGGCTGTCCAACAGACGCGGCGGCGGCTCGAGCGGCGCAGGCGGCCCGCGGGCCGGCGTGCCGAGACTGGCCGGCACCCCCACGGATGAGGGCGGGCAACGGAGAAGCAGAGGGCGGGAGAGCTTGAGCGGAAGCGGCCGCATATGCACGCTGACTTCTACCATCGCGAGCGTACAAAATCATTTAAATTTTGACGGGGCCCTGGGACACACAAATAAATATACACAAATAACAGGATTCCCCATATTTTATTGTATTTTCTAGGTTTTTGTTTTCCCCCTACTTCCCATATTTTCCATATTTCTAGAGAAATCGAATATTAATTGTGTAAGTGTGTTTCTTTCCCTCTTGAAATTTGCGTGGCGAAGGACCCCACCCTGCGCAATGTGGGTGCCGCCATTGTGGGTATCGTCTTCGGTGGCGCTCCCGATGGGTCCGCGAACCGCGCGAGGGGCATGCCAGCATGTGTGGCGGGGTGTGCCAAAATGGGTGGCGCGGGTGCGCGGGAGCGTCGCCACTCGGGTTTCAGGTGGAGTTCCCTATGGGGCCACGAACTGTGAAAGGGATGTGCCCAAATGTGTGGCGTGGACGCATGGGAACGTCGCCACTGGGGCCTTAGATGGAGCTCCCCTATGGGGTCACGGACCGTGTAAGGGGTGTGCAAAAACGGGTGGCGCGGACGCATGGGAACGTGGCCCTTGGGGCCTTCGGTGGAGCTCCAAGTGGGGCCACGAACCGTGTAAGGGGTGTGCCAAAAATGGATAGCGCGGACGCATGGAAACGTCGCCACTGGAGCCTTCGGTGGAGCTCCCGGTGGGGCCACGCACCGTGCAAGGGGTGTCCCAAAAATGGATGGCGCGGACGCGTGGAAACGTCGCCAATGGGTCCTTCGGTGGAGCTCCCTAAGGGGGCCACGAGGCGTGTGAAGGGTGTGCCAAAATGGGGCGGCGCCGCCATGCAAGGGGTGTGCCGCAACGAGGGTCGATGATGGTGACGATAACGGCGATGCATATGAGGATGGCGATGATGGTGATGATGACGAAGATGGCGATAATGACAACAATGATAGTGATGATGACGATGACGATGACGATGGTAATAACAATAATAGTGGGAGGAAGGAAAACGGGGAGGAGAAGAGGAGGAGAGGAACGCGGGGCGCTATCTCTTCAAAACGAACACCCAACACCACAATACGTTTGGGAAGAAGGCCCTGGCGGCCCTCCGAAATCGTGTTCCAGAAAACCCCTCCCGGAACATGATTTGCATGTTCCCGAAGCCCCTTCCGGGAACATGATTGAAGCACTCCGGTTCAAGGCCGACTTGATCAATGTGCAGCGGCACCCGCGAGGCCGCCCATGCTATGCGCCCTGCAACACTATACCAAATATCCCAGCAATTCTTGTAAGCGGGAGAGGCGGCCAACCTGCATACGACATATTACGTGTCTGTAGCAAGGCTCGAAAGGCGGAGGCTGCCCGACAGACGCGGCGGCGGCTCGAGAGACGCAGGCTGCCCGCGAACAGGCTTGCCAAGACTGACTGTTCCCCCCCGAACCCCGCAGGTCGGACTGGCCGATGGGCCGAATGTCCCGCAGGGGTCGCAAAAGACACAAGTTAAAATGAAGGCAACAGGCCTAACCTGACATCACGGCGCGCTTCGGCGGAGGACTCAAGCACGGAGGCCAAGGACGAGGCGAACCTCTTCGGGCACTCGGCGGCCATGGCTGTCCATTGGCGGCCGCCCACGGCGGCGCCAGAAAGCGCGGCGAGATTGTTCCGGACTTGGAGCAACTGCCATAATGGCCGCAGCACCGCTTCTCTACGCAGTCTATACAAGAGACGCGCCAACCAGCGATGCGGGCGGCCTTCCGCCACCGGGACCCAAACTGACACAAGTGGCCGACCGCGGACGCGCACGAGGTATGAGAGAGGAGGCGAACAAAGCGAGGGGCGAACCACACGATGGAAGTCCGCGGTTTTACCAGCAGGCAGGGCACGCCAATAAGCCTGCACAATGAGTTCGTTCGGCAGCTGAAACTAAAGGCGTCGCTGCCGAGCCGGAGCCTCACCTGCTGAGCACTCAGAAGATCGAATTGGACAACGACTCGCCCGCGACCACGTCGCGCAGGGCGCGGCGAGAAGCACGCCCGCGACGACGCCGGCCTTCAGCCAACCGGAAAAAGCGACGGCCGAAATGATCCACGTCGGCACTGCTGGCGAGGTCGAGCGCAACGCAGCCATATCCGCGCGCGGTCACGAGCTCGGCCGAACCCCGACCGCCGCCCGCGAAAAGCTCCAGAAGGCCTATTGCCGCCGCAACCTGGCGAGGCGCAGCTGGGGAGTCAGCAGCCCGCGCAGGCGCCGCTCCGCGCGCGCCAACGAAACTACGCGCGGCGGCGCCACATGGGCGCGGGCGCGGCTGCCTGCTCTGGGCGGGCGCCACGAGCGCCGCGGCCGGCCCCGGCAACGTCTGGAACAGCTCCGCGTCGAACCCGCGCCCGATGATCCCCGCGAAGGACTGCTCCGCCAGCGTCCCGAAGCGGGGGGCCCAGTCGGGGACCTTCGCCAGCGCCGCCTGGAGGTAGGTCTCCACGGCGCATCTCTTCCGCGCTCGAATGCGCCGCCCACCGCACTGGGCGCCGGGCGCTCTCGACGGGGGCGCCGGCTCGCCAGGGCGTCGCGCGACGCGCCACCGTGCCACAGGGAACGCGGCGTCGGGCGGAGCGGCCTAGGACCGGGGAGCTCGGCGCGCCTGTCGAACTTCGCTCTGCACCGCGCTGCCGCGAAGTCCAAGAACGACTGCGCGGCGCTCGTCGCCATCTTCAGCGCGGCCAAGATCGGCCGCGCGAACCGGCCCAGGTCTACGCGCTGCAACTCGCCCCAGAGATTCGTCGCGCCCGGCATTCCCGCATCGGGGGGATTGAGCAAGAGCCCCCGCGCGTCCGCCACTGCCACGGACGGGATCCGGCACGCCGAGGTGACCCTCATCGCCTCGAAGGGCCGCAAATTGCCCATAAACGACAGCACCACCATGATGGCCATCCGCCAGAAGCCGCGGGCGATCATCAGACCCGCCACGGCGGGTGCCGCAGCTCGACGTCGAGGCAGCGGGGCCCGGGTGGCCATCGGCATCCGCCGCTGCCCAGCCACCACCGACCGAGTCGCCTGGGGGAGCATGAACATCCTGGCCCCCGCCGGACCCAGAGCGGAATGGGGCCAGCGCCGCCAGGAACTGCGCGCCCTCGCCGGGGATCTGCCCGTTGATGAACACGTGGTTCAGGCACGCCGTGGTCGCCCCGTCAAGCCCCGCCATCGAGCTCCAGTCCAGGCGGCGGGCCGAGCAGTAGGCCACGAGGCCGCCCAACAGCGCCCAGCACGCCGCTGGTGTCTCAAGGCGGACCGCCGCCTGCCAGGCTTGCGACCAGCGCCGCGGCCAACGGCATCCGCCTGCGGACGGAATCGGTCGGCCTGGAGGCCACCCGGCGCCGAGGCGAGGCCTTGGCTCGCGGCATGGCGAGTCGCTCGCCGTCTTGAACCACCCTGGGCCACGTCGGAGTACCAGGAACGCTCGCCACGACTGAGAGGGCCCGAAGGGTCGCACTCCGACGGGGCCCATCGCCACCGAAGGCGAGAGCCCGACGCCAGCGACAGCATGCGCGGCACGGCCACGCGGAGCCGCGAGGCAGAGCGGCAGAAGGTCAACGAGAAAGCGGCAGCCGCAGCACGCGCTCGAGCGCAGCAGGCGGCGGCAAGGCAGCAGCATGGCCTCGGACTCCAGCGCTCGCACGTCGGCACCTGGCTCGACGGCCGCAGCGATGGCCCCGCCCCAGCGGCGCCGCGCGAGCAGCGGCCGAGGCGCCTCTCCGAACACGGCGACCGACGGCCCCATGAGCGACGCGCCCCCGCCACCGGGCCCCTTCAAAATCACAGTCCAGAGAGTCCATCCTGGGGCGTGACTTCCATGTTATCCGGCGCAGTCCTCTCGCAAGCTAGGCACTCACTCCCCCGGGCCTTCTGGAAGCCCTCGACTCAGTGACACCATCGCCTGCTAATGCGCCCGATCTGGGCGACCTCAGAGCACGGCGCCAGTCAGCGGCAGGCGCCCATCCCAAACTCGCTCGCGTCCGAGCGCGCGGCGCGGCTGCCCCAGGGGGCCGACAGGTCGCGCGCCAGCGGCGGCAGGAGGCGCCGCGCCTGCCAGAGCCCCCGCCGCACCGACGGCCAATAGCTCCTGCAGGTCCGCGCCGTTCGCCGCGATGAAGGCGTCCGCCGCGTCGAGCAGCGCCAAGGCCCGACTCCGAACCAGGGGGGCCCACGCGATGTGCCCCACGAGGATCTGGAGAAGGTGACTAGACACCTGCTTGCTGCGCAAGACCTCCTCGACGGCGCATCGCGGGCGCCAGACGTTCCGACCATCGATGGAGAGCCCCCGCCCGGCGCGCAGCCCGCCGACGCGCGCTGGGCGCCGTGGCCCTGGAGCCCAACGCCCTGGAGCTGCCCAGACACCCGGTCGACTGCGGCGTCGACGCGGCCGGCGTCGGCCGCCGCGGCCAGGCAGTCGTCGACGCGCCCTGCGCAGCCCGCGCCAGAAGGCCGTGCAAGCCGAACAATCGGCCAGCCATCCTCGATGGTCAGGGAGCCAGGCACCCCGCGCGGTCGATCGCCGACCGCAGCGCGCACTGGCACAGGCACATGGACCACGAGAAGCCAATCGGCATGACGACGATGCATCCCCGGACCGCTCGGGCGAGCCGGCCAAAATCGGGCCCAAGCACGGGCCGCGAGGGCAAGCCCCACGGAGAAGTGCAGCAGCGTCTGCGGTGGGACGCAGCACGTTCGAGCGCCAGCCCTCACGCCACGAAAGGTCCGGCGCGTCGAGCAAGTCCTGCAACGGCGCGGCATGCTCTCCAGCGCTCGGCCATGAGACGGAGCCCCTCGCACGCGGGCGGGTCGGGCCGCCAGACTCGTGGAGCGGCGACCCGGCGAGGCGCTCGCTGAGAGCCCCCTCGCGCAACTGAGGCGCATCGGGCGGCTCACGCAACCTCCGGCAGCAACCAGACACATGCCCCAAGGCGCTCAACTGGGCCGATGCGCGTGGGCCCAACGGCGAGACACCAGAGGTGGAAATCGAATTCATTTCGGCGATGGCGCCCTCGGCCCAGGCGAGGCAGCGAGCGCGCCCCTTGCGTCGTCGAGGGGCCCGCCGAGACTGCGCGCCCGGACACCGCGGGCGCCGCAGGAAGCTGGCAGAATAATAGATCGCGCCGTCGACCGCCGACCCGCGAGCGCGCGCAAAACTGCGTGGACGGAGCGCTGGAGGCAGCGGAGCCCACTGTCAGGCAAGAAAACGCGGCCGCAGGCTGCCCAAGTTCAGCGGCCCGCATGCGGCGATCCGTCTCGTTGCCCTTCTTCTCCTTGTTCGCCAGCGCGTGCTCCTCGCGAGCCTTGCGCCGTTCCTTTGCCACTGCCCACTCTTTCGTGAGCTCCTCCTTCAAGTGCCCCGCCGAATGCGGCGCGACGCAGATATGCCCGCGTGCGAGGCCGCAGCCGAGGATCAGGTGAGTGTCCGCGTTGTCATTCTTCGTCTCAGGGGCGAGCCGCTCGCGGCATCGCTCCTCGCACAGCTGCGCGACGCGGGCCAGCAGCTCGCCCGAGGCGAGGCCCACCGCGTTCAGCTGGCAACGGGCGCGGCGCCCGAGCGGCCCGCCTCCGTTCGTCTCCATGAAGCAGCAGCGGCAGGTCCGCGTGCACGGGCCAGTCTGGCCACGGGTGTTCGACCATGGCCAGGATCGCCCCCCGAAAAGCCCGACGCAGCTGTCCGAGCGTGTCGTAGCTCACCGCGAGGACCCGCGCGTCGGCAGCAGCTGCAGGCGCGGCCGGCGCGGCGGCAGCCGCTGCGCCAGCGCCGGGCGCCGCCGCGGGGGCGGCAGGCGGGGGAACCACCACGGCCGCCAGACCCGCAGCAGCCGCAACTGCCAGCAGGGGCGGGATGGGCCGCGCCAGCTGCCGGAGGGGCCGCCCAGCGCCGCTCCGAGCCCAGCGGGCCCGCCGCCGCCAGCCGCGGGAGCGGCGCGTGCGGCGGCCGCGGCCAGCGCCCCCGGCGCGGGGCCCGCCGCCGCTGCCGCGGGCGCCGCTGCTGGCGCCGCCAGCACGTGCTTCGCCAGCCGCCTGCGCGGCACCCGCCGCCGCTCCGGCGGCAAGCCCGCCGCCCACTGCTGCCCCGGCTGCCGCGGCTGGCGCCGCCGCGGCAGCGGCCGCGGCTGGCGCAGCCGCTCTGGCAGCGCCCGAACCTGCGCCGTGCGCACCCACGCCAGCGCGGCTGGCGAGATTGGGGAGCCCCCGCGGCACCAGAGGAAGCCCGAGTCGACCTTCTGCCGCCGCGCGAAGGGCGTCGCATGTGGCCGGGATCGGCACGGCGCGGAAGCAGTGGATGCGGTCCACGCCCGTCGCCGGGTTGCCCGCGCCCACCGCACCGCCAACGCATGGCAGCCAAGCTGCGACGTCGGCGCCTGGGGACCACGCTGCGAAGACATGCTCCTCGTAGCAGTCGCCGTCCAGGGTTAGACTCGTGAAGTCAGTCCGATGCGGTGAGGCGATCAACACCATGCGCTCGTGTCATACCCCAGGGCCCGGGATGCCGTACAGCTCCAAGAAGAAGCCGCAAGGCGGAAGGCCCAGGCTGGCGAGGTACACGGCTGGGCTGACCGCCGCCACTGCTGAGCCGCGAGCCGTATCGAGCGCGGATCTCACGCGCCTGCTGAGCACCGACTTCCTGAGCCGCCGCCGCCCCCTCCTGGGCACCAGGCGCGGCCGCCAGGGCCGCTTCAGGCCCCGCGCGCGCTCGCCGCCGAAGCGCAGCGCCGGCAGCGCGCTGCAGGGGCCGGCGGCCGCGGACGCCGCGGCCGGGGCGAGGGCTCCCAGGAGCGAGAGAGCCCCGCCGCCGTGCTCTCCGGGCTGCGACCGCCCGGGCACAACCGGTGCGTGGCCCGCAGGCGCACGAGCAGGGCGGGCACAGCACGCCCGCCGAGGAAGAGCAGGCGAGGGCCCCAGCGCCAGCAGCCCGGCCAGCGCCGCGCAGCGCCGCCCACGCCGCCGAGCAGCATGCCTCCATCCGCGAGCCCGCGGGGCCCAGCACTCGGGCGGAAGCGGTTGCATGTGTGCGTCGATTCCTGCCATCGCGAACGAACGAAGACCTGAAAAAAAGACCCTGGCGGCCCTCCACGCTCGTGCTCTGGAAAGCCTCTCCCGGACCATGGTTGTTATGTTCCTGAGGCCGGGCACATGATCAAAGCACTCCGATGCAAGGCCGACTTGATCTACGCACAGCGGCACCCGTGCGGCCGCTCATGCTACACATCTCTGCAACACGACATGAAATCTCCCATATAAATCCCAGGATTCCTTATATGTGTTTAAGCATGTCTTCTTGATACTCGTCTTCCCCCCCACTTTCCATGCGTTCCCATGTCTTCCTGGGAATGGCATGGACGATTGATTGTGTCTGTGTGTCTTCCCTGTCCTGAAAAACACGCCCGCGGACGTCTCTTGGGAAAGTCCGCAGGAGCCCCGGAAGAGGACGAAGCGTGGCCTGGGAGGGCCGCCGCTGTGAGGGGGAACGCCTGCGGAGGACTGGCGCCGAGGGGGGGACATCTCGGCGGTGGACAAACCTCCCTCTATCGGGGAGACCCAAACATCCCTGCATTTTGACGAGGCCTCCCGCTGCAGACATCCCACGAAACTCCTCCTCGTCAAAATCCGAGTCGCGGTCGTCAAAAAAAATGGCGAACCCGAGTCCCGGCAAACCCGGGTCTTACGCTCCCCCGACCTTAGTGAAAACGGCCCGGGACCGAAACAGACGGACCTGGACCCGCCAGAATGACGGCCGCGGCGCCCTCTCGCGAAGCGAAGGCGGCCAGTTCCTGAATCGACGTGTCCGGGTAGGAGGCCTGTCGGCCTCCGAGCATCGGCCTGGGGTCGACGACACGCCGCCGCCAGGTCGGGATGGGGCCCCCGACTGCGGATCCCGCCGCTCCTCGGCCAGAGGGGCTCTCGGGCCCCTTGTTGGCGACGAGCGGGCGATTTGGGGGGGCCGAGGCGCGCCCCCCCCCCCCGCGCGCGCCGGGAGCGGCCGGCATCGAAGCGGAAGATCAGGCCTGATCGGACTGTGCCTCGGATCGGCCCGCATATATGGGCACGGGGTCACCAGGTGGAATCGGACCGGCCGCGCCAGGATGCACACATACAAACATCGGGCTGCTCCGGATTGGTCGGAATCGGCTCGGATCGCGCCAGCCGGCATCGATACCGATCGATCGGATCGACACGGACCCCCCCCCCGAGCGCTGCCCAACACTAGAGAAAGAACAAAAAAGCATAAACATAAACTTTGGCGCTCCGCGCGGATTTCTTGGATCCGCGCCGCACCCCCCTCCCTGGCGCGCGGAGCGCGCCAGGGGCGGCGCCGGAGGCGCCGCCGAGGGGCCCAGGCGCGGATCCAAGAAATCCGCGCGGAGCGCCGAAAGTTTATGTTTATGTTTTTTCTTCGACTGACTAGAGGCCTCCTAGATGTGGTCCGAGTAGATGGGGCCGAAGGATCGAGCCGCATCGCCGATGCATCGCCGATGCATCGGCGATGCATCGGCGACGTCGGCGATGCATCGGCGGCGTCGGAGTGGGGAAACATGGGCTCCACATCGAGCCGCATCGTCGACGCATCGGCGATGCGGCGCGATCCTCCGACCCCATCTAGGAAGCCCAGACAAACGCCGCCTCGGCCGGCCCCGTCCGCTCCGGGTGGTCTCCCCGCCGCCGGGTGACCATGCCGGCGAGCCCCGCGAGGCGCCGCCCGCCGCAGGCGTGGGCGGGCGGAGCAGCGCCTCGGGCGGCAGGCTCGAGGAGTGCGGCGCGAGGTCGAAGAGGTCAACGGCGAGGAGGACGCTGATGGACCCGTTTTCCACCACCACCATCATGAGTTGGAGGGGGGAAGGGGGTGAAGGACGAGGAGGAGGAGAAGGACGAGGAGGAGGAGGACGAGGAGGAGGAGGTGGAGGACCCCCTCCCCCTCCAACTTGTGGTGGTGGCGGTGGGAAACAGGCCCATCAGACGTGGCCCGCCGCGCCAGCGGGGGCGCCCTCCCAGAAGGAGAGACAACCGCACAAGCATATGGCGCTCCGCGCGGAGCGCCAAAAGCTTATGCTTATGCTCAAGTCGGGCCTGTCCCCCTACAGGGGGATTTTCGACGAAAAATGAAAAATGCCCCAAAAATAATCAAAAAATAATGCAAAAATAGTCTGGGGACTCTTGTGGGGGTACTTTTTTTTACCTTTTTGGTGTATTTTTGGTATCTTTTTATTTTTCTTCGAAACTCCCCCTGTAGGGGGACACGCCCGACATAAGCTTATTCGGGCATGGACAGACCCCCATTTAGTAAAACGTGGTTTAGTGAAAACGACCTGAGGCACAAACCTGGCGGGCGCAAGCCTGGAAAATAACGGCCACGGCGCCCTCTCCAGAACTGAAAACGGACAATTCACTAATCGACGTGTCACTGTTGGGGGTTCTGTCCACCCCCGACTTATGCGGTTTTCTCTCCTTCGACCTCCAGCGCCCACCACTGGCCGGAGCTGCTGCCCGCGGCGGCGTGCTCCACCTGCCCGGCGGGGGGGGGAAGCGCGCTCATCCCCGACCTCCTCGCGCCGCGGCGAGCGCGCGACGCGTGGCGCGGCGTCGTGTGGGGGGATCCGTCGGGGCGGCCTCCGCCGGGCCCCGCGGAGCCGTCCAGGCACGAGCCAGCCGGGCATCGGCAGCGAGCCCCGGGGGGGGAAGTGAGGAGGAGGAGGAGGAGGAGGAGGAGGTCTTCTCAGGAGGTTCGGAACGCCCCCGGCCTTCTGAGGAGTGTTCAGAGCCTTCCCCGGCCAGATGTCCAGGGGTCCACGCTGCGAACAAGTCGCGACGGTGGAGTGGGGGGTAGGTGGGGTGGGGCCAGTGGGGTGCCTGAGGAAAGTCGCTCCGTGCCCCCCGAACCTGGGACTCCTTGGTCTTGCCGATCGGCCAACTCTTGCCGGCGAAGTCGACGTCGAAGACCTCGACCTGGAAATGCTGGCGGGTGTCGTAGATCACGAAATCGAAGGACTCGGCCCACGTAAGGCTCTTCCCGCTCACAGTCCTGGTCCGCACCCTCCGGCCTCCCACTGATACAACGGCGTACGCATCAGGGCCACGGGTTCGCATCGTGCTTGAGGAACACAAATCGCTGGCCCGGTGCACGCTCACACGCACAACATAGGAGGGCAGAACAGTAGGCCACGTCACCGTTTCGTCGTTGCCGGGGTCTGCCCAGTTGATGCCCAGAGCATTCGGAAGAACGAGCCTGTCGTGGATGGCGTGGTCGATCGCTGCGCGGATCTGCTGCATGATAAAAGGCGTGTTCGCGACTTCCAGCATGTCGCTGAAGCGAATGCTTACCTGCGGAGGGGTTAAAAAGAACAGCTGCATCGCGCTAAAGACAGGCATCTCGTCGAGCAGAGGCGTGAACCGCAAGCTCAGCACTCCGTTCACCTCGATGTGGCTGATGCCGAAGGGCATGACTCCGAGCTGCAGCTTAATGTTCGCATCGGTGGAATACTTGAGGCCGATGTCGAGCTGAACCTCCAAACCATCGTGGCCGTGCTCCTTCACGTGACGATGGCTCCGGGAGCCTGCGAGTATCGGGCCAAACTGCGGATGGGCGCTGCCAAAGGAACACTCGACCACGGCCAGGCTCCTCATCGGGAGGGGCAGCGACGGCCTTGCGTCCTCGACGGCGTCCCTGACCATCTTCCCGAGGCCGACGCGGAACTTCGGCCAAATCTGCTCCTTGAGCAAGGACCGACCGTCCCGGCATCCCTATAGGCCTATCACACAATCTTCTTAGAATAGTAAGATGTTCTAAGGACAAAGGCAAAGCTCTCAGAACATAAACCTGGTATAGTAAAACAAGACAGCCCCAACCAGAAATGTTCTAGAAACACTTCGTAGAAACCACAAAAAGTGTCTTAGAACATTCTTTGGTGCGTCTACACCAGCGGTGGACAAACCTCCCTTTAGTAAACCTTCCCTTTGTGAAAGCGGCCCGGGACCGAAACCGACGGACCTGGACCCGCAAAAATGCCGGCCGCGAGGCCCTCTCGCGAGAAACGAACACGGCCATTTCCTTCATCGACGCGTCAGGGTAGGAGGTCTGTCCGCCCCCGACTACAGGCGAGCCGGGACGCTTCTAGGGGAACAAAATGTGACATAAGCATAAAAACTCGGAGGTCCGCGCGGATTTCTCGGATCCGCGCTGGACCCCCCTAGCGGCGCCTCCGGCGCCGCCCCTGGCGCGCTCCGCGCGCCAGGGAGGGGGGTCCAGCGCCGATCCGAGAAATCCGCGCGGACCTCCGAGTTTTCATGTTTATGCCACTTTTGTTCCCCTAGCTTTTGGGCGCCCGAGTTATCCGGGGTAACTCGGGTCCGGGGTAACTCGGGTTTGGATTCCCGAAAAAGGAACCCGAGTTAGCCCTGACCCGAGTTACCCCTGATGATTCGGGGCTCTGGACGCCCGAGTTATCCGGGGTAACTCGGGTCCGGGGTAACTTGGCTTTGGATTCCCGAAAAAGGAACCCGAGTTATCCCTGACCCGAGTTACCCCTGATGATTCGGGGCTCTGAAGCTTCGCCACTGCTCGAGCTCCAACACCCACGTCAGCCAGCGCAAGCTCTCCGGCTCGCTCACCGGGTCCGCCGAAGAGGAGGGGCCAGGAAGAGCGGGGTGCGGCACCCTGGCCCGAGGCACGTGCGCGGCCGAGGGAGGGGGGGGGAGAAGGAGGAGGAGGAGGAAGGGGGGGGAAGAAGAGGAGGAGGAGCAGGAGGAGGAGGAGGAGAAGGAGGAGGAGGAGGAGGAGGAGGAGGAGGAGGAGGAGGAGGAGGGGGAGGAGGAGGAGGAGGAGGAGGAGGAGGAGGAGAGGAGGAGGAGGAGGGGGAGGAGGAGAAGGAGGAGGAGGAGGAGGAGGGGGAGGAGGAGGAGGAGGAGGAGCAAGAGGAAAGAAGAAGAGGGGGCCATGGCATCCGCGAGATTCCATGGCCCCTTGAAAATCGCGAGGGGGGAATTACGTCTCTGCCGGCACACAAGGAGGCCCTGGCAGCCTGGGCGGGGTAGCTTGAAGGCAGACGTCCAATCCATCGTGGCGGCGCGCTTGCTCCGGCAAGCAGTTTGCCGCGAGGTCAGGAGCTGCTGGGGCGGCGCTTCCCACATCGAAATGCGTTGACCTCATCGACTGTCAATGTTGTTATTCTGCTCTGGCGAGGCTGCCGACTGGCAACTTGAACTTCAATGCGCGACCGTCCAAGCCCCCCCGGTGCTCACAAACCCCTCCTCAGTCCTCACGCCCCGCCTCTTTGTCGCCCCCGAGCTCAGCGAGACGTTGGACACCACCAAGCTTGCCCGGGGCGAGGTGGCGAGGTCCTGCAGCTGCACGCGGCGTTCCACGTGAAACTCGATGTCGAGTCTGAGGGTCGTGGAGAGAGCCCGCAGGGACGGCGCGTTGGCCGCCTCTGTAGAACAAACATCTGCATCAAGGCTCGAGGAGCTACACAAAATTGTCCGTTTTCGAACTGATTACGATTTCCCTTATTCTGTCTTCGTTCCGAATTCAACTTTACCGCAAAACGACATCAAAATGAAACGGCCCACGAAATTGCCAAAATACAGTTTACTTCGAGCCCTGTACATCTGCATCAACGGAAACTCTCGGCGGTCCGCGCGGATGCCTCGGGTCGGCGCTGGACCTCTTCCGCTTTCACGCCCGAAATGGGCACGGCAAACATGGGCACCATGCCCAACAACAAATGTTGTCCAAAACCGACAGCGGCCGCAGTTTGACAGGCGGCCTTCTGTCTCACATGGACATCGCCCGCGGCGACACCAACAACGAAACATTGTGACAAGAACTGCTGACGGTCTTGTCGGTATTCGTGCCCACTCTTTCCGTACCCATTTCGAAATCACCGGTCCATGATGGCCCGCTCCACGCGCCAGGGGCGTCGCCGGAAGCGCTGGCATGGAACTCAAGCGCCGATCGAAGAAAATCCGCGTGGAACTCCGAAAGTTGATATTTACGCCGATGGTTCTTCCCCGAGCCTTGTCCAGGGAGAAGCGCTTGAAGGAGATCTCGAGCCTATTCAGGGCAGCCAAAACCATGCCCACTTAGAGAGCACCTTACGCGCTTCCAACGGTCCCTAAGAGAACTCCTAGATGGCTCCTATGCGCGTCCAAAAAGGCTACCAGAGCGAAGAAGCGCGCTGCCCTACACGCCTGATCGGGGCCCGGATCATTGCTGGATGGGCTTGCGAAGATACGCGAAGCGTTAAGGATTGAAATCCGCCAGAGGTCTGGGCACTTCATGGACGCAGTGGGCCCCGACGTCACCCATCTCCCACCACACCCTGGCGGAGCGGGAGGCACCCCTGGCGGTCAGGGAGGGGAGAGTCCCAGCGCGGACGCGAGAAGCCCGCAGGGACCTACGATGTGTGTATGTATAGATGAATGTGTAAATGTATCGATGTATGTATATATAGATGTGTGAATATATATATATATATATATATATATATATATATGTATATATGTATGTGTATATGTATATATATACATACATCGAGCCATCGCGCGCGCTTCGCGCGCATCAAGTTCTAGCTAAGCTGGATGGTACAACTCGTGGAGATCTCTATTCAATGACACTTCTTCTACGGGGCTTCCAAGGAGCACGAAGACGGCCCAAGTGGCTTCCTAGACTTCCTCCGGTCCACCCACGACGGCTTAAGACAGGCCCAAAAGGCATTTCGGGTGCCCATTTATTCGCCGCGGCTGGACGTAGCCAGAGGAAGAGGGAGGAGAAGGGGAGGTGTAGGGTTTCCCGGGGGAGGAGGAGAGGGAGGATGAGGATGAGTTGGGGAGGGTGGAGGAGGCCGCAGAGAAGGAACTGGAGGAGGAAGAGGAGGAGGAAACATGATATGTCCTTTCCTTTGCAAGCGTAGCGAAGCTGCCAGGCGAACTTTAATAAAGAAGTGTTGGAACTCCCGTTTTTTCTCAAGTGCTCTAGGGGACTCTGTCGTGGCCCTTTTGGGCCTGTTTGGGACTTATTGAAGATTTGTTGAAGCCTCCTGGGGTTTCCTGGGACGAAGATCTCGGATTCTCGGGTCACGTTCCCAATCCTGGGCCCTTGTTGGGGCCCTCTCGGGCCGTCGTTGACGTCTCTTCGGTGCTTTTGAAGCCTATTGTGCCGTCTTGGGGCGATCATCGGAGCCTCTTGGGGCGTTTTGCAGCGTCGGGAAGCGGAACAGGCGGAAACGCCAACATTGATCAAAAAACTATAGAAACATGTTTGTTGGCCTCTTCGGGCTCTGTTGGGAGACCTATTGACAGCCTTTTGGGTATCTTGAGGGCCTCTTGGGCCGTCTGGAGGCCGTCTTGGGCGTCTAGGGCCATCTGGTGGCCGTCGGCCCGTCCCGCCACCGTGCCTGGGTTGCGGCTTGGAGGCCTCTTGGAAGTTCGTTTGGGACGTCCCGGAATCCTTTTCAACGCAGATTTGGAGGCGGCTTCGAGGCCGTTTGGGGTTTTTTCGGCGCCTCTTTTTGGGCCTCTTTGGGGCCTCGTGGGGCCTCCAGGGGGCCTCTTGGGCTCTGTTGAAGGCCTCTTGCGGCCTCCTGGGTGCCTCTTGCGGCCGAAGGCTCGAATTGCCGGTTCGTGTTCCCCCTCGTGGGCCTCTCTTGGAGCCGTCTTTGGGCCCTCTTGGGCGATGTTGGGCGCCTCTTGGGCCGTCTTGGGGCACTCCTGGGCCGTCTTAGAACTCTCTTGCGCCGTCGTGGCGCCCTCTTTGGGTGCCCCTTGGGCCGTTTTGAACTGATTTCTGGGGCATCGTGGGTTGTCTTGGACCGTCGGATGCACGAAACGTCGAGAACACAAAATTATCCTGGCGAAGGACCCAACCATATGCAGTTGTGGGTACCGCAATTGTGAAAATCTTCTTCGGTGAAACTCCCTATGGGGCCACGAAGCGCTGCACTGGGTGGAAGGGAACGCTGCTCTGGGTGAGTGGTGTGTCAAGTAAGGTTCCCGGGGCGCATGCGGACGGTCCCACTGGGGGCTTCGGTGGAGCTCCCTATGGGGAAAATGCCAAGTTGGGCTTCCGGGGCGCATGCTGACGGTCCCACTGGAGGCTTCGGCGATACTCCCTATGGGGCCACGAAACGCTGTACTGGGTGGGTGAAAATGCCAAATTGGGCTTCCAGGGCGCATGCGGACGGTCCCACTGGAGCTTCGGTGGAGCTCACTAAGGGGCCACGAAACGCTGCACTGGGTGGGTACAAATGCCACGTCGGGTTTTCGGGACGCATGCGGACGGTGGCACTGGGGCCTCCGGTGGAGTTCCCTACGGGGCCACGAAATTCTGGATTGGGAAGGTGAAAGTGCACAATGGGTGTTTCGGGACGCTTGCGGACGGTCCCACTGGGGCCTTCGGTGGAGCTCCCTGTGGGGCCACGAAACGCTGCACTGGGTTGGTGAAAATGCCACGTTGGGTGTGCGGGACGCATGCGGACGGTGGCACTGGGGCCTTCGGTGGAGCTCCCTGTGGGGCCACGAAGCGCTGTAATGGGTGAATGAAAATGCCAAATTGGGTGTTTCAGGACGCACTCGGCCGGTCACACTGGAGGCTTCGGTGGAGCTCCCTATGTGGCCACGAAACGCTGCGCTGAGTGGGGGGGGCGCATGTGGACGGTAGCATTGTGACCTTCGGTGGG